ACAGACTCTAGGTCCATTCACCTCACTACAAATAACTCAATTTCATTTCTTTTTATGGCTGAGTAATATTCCATTGTATACATGTGCCACATCTTCTTTATCCATTCATCTGTTGATGGACACTTCGGTTGCTTCCATGTCCTGGCTATTGTAAATAGAGCTGCAATGAACATATTGGTACATGACTCTTTTTGAATTATGGTTTACATATTTCCGTGCAGTCTTGGTTGTGACTATGAGCTAGTGATATGTCCACAAATATACCCATAATCTGGTAAAGTTCTAATTATTTCTATTGAATCCATACTTCACTTATAATGAAAAGTGAGTACATGAAAACGTTGGAAATCTTAAGGAGGAGGTATTGCAATTCTTGGAATCCCAATGAGAATGCACATGATAATATGATAAAATAATTATGTTTTGATTGTGTCATCATGATTTTTCAAAATTTTTGTCTAGAGAGGAAATTCTAATGACTCTCTGTAGACTTAGCCACAGTCCACGAGTGATACTGAGGTACGAGAAAGCTGGTAACTACAACTTCTTTCTATTTGACCCATGTTGGTAGTATTGGAACCTAAGGTTGAGTCATAGAATTGCTTTAGAAGAGATTCTGAAATGATAGGTTAAAAATGATGTCTTTTCTATCAAAATGGATGAAATTTGTTGGTTGAAGGAAAAATATATTCTAGAAATGTCACCCTTCCTTCTACAATTCTCCTCCCCAACCCAAATATAGAAAGGGTGATATATCTCACAAATATCTGTACCAGACCATTGCAGAGCCAATTTTTCAAAATTTGGTATAAGTGCATAGCTTAACATACTTATTAGGAGTTTCCCAACTAGAGACATTTTATAAGGCAAAGATATATGCCTATACAATGCTTTTTTTGGTTAAGATTATAGCTTTATGATGAATATTGCAGGGAGTTTATTAATTTATTCAGTGACCACTTAATAGCCAAATATGGAGGAATAGTAAAATGATTTAGACATGATTTCTATCCCAAAGAAGTGTGCAGTTTTGTGCCAGAGAAAAACACATAAGGAAATAACTCTGAAAGTAATTATTTTTCTAGTCCAAAATGATGTACAGACATGTTGGCAGGGTAGCACATAGGTGGCAGTGTATAGCTATGCTTCAAAATAAATATATATGCTATAGAAATTTACTAAGGTTTTGTACACTGGAGTTTTAGTTACTCAAGATTTTCTGAGGGTCCCATAAATGTAATGAATTTTTAATCATCAAGTATTTTTTTAAAAGATTTCTCATGTGGGTGTACTATTTTTGATGCTACAATGAGAAAATGTCCATTTTAGGATGCAGGACATAATCAGAAGTATTTTTCCATGCTATAACGATAGAGACTATAATCCACGCATTATTTCATCTAGAAAACTGTGAAAACTGGCTTAACAGTGTTTTATTGTATATTGTGGAATAAACAAATCCAAAGATGGGGAAGTAGAAAAGCCCTCATAAAAGAAATAACAATCATCATGTGGTCTGAAGAATGAGGAATTTTATGGACTAAAAATAACAAGGAATATTTTAAAAAATATAACTCAACAAGCACAGTTTTGAATCTATGAATGTCACCAGATGTGAGGTGTTGATGTTAATATTAGGAAGACTAGACCACTGTGAAACTGGACAGGATAAGTATTCTCTACAAATGAGAAATAAGCATGCATAAGAATGAGAGTGACTTTAGAAATTTTCTTTTCTAAAGATAAGCCTGGTGAAGTTGTGCAGTGACACTTTTGTAGGAAATTATTGATATTAAGGCAAGAAGAAGCAGACAACAATTAAAATATAGCAAATCAGGGATGACAAATGCCACAAATTCTGTACTGCTGGCCAAACGAAACAAAGAGAAAAGGGGCTCCAGAAAATTCACCTTGGCATTTAGAACATGTGAATATCCATGGTTCAAACTTGAAAACTAAGGAGTATGATAAATCCAGAGTCTGTCTGGATTCTGAAATCAGAAACCAAAATTGTCAGTAACGGGAGAAAAATTGTTCTAAAGTTCTAGGACATGAAAACTACAGTTCAGTAGTAATTTTAGAAAATGGGTAAGTGTTGATTGTTAATTACCAAAACTCATGCAAGGTAATTTTAGAAATAGCAAAAAAAAAAAAGCCCAAACCTGAACTACAGCTCTGGTAGGAACTGTGAGAGAAGTAGGCTGAGGTTGTGATTTGGGATCATCTTTTGGGTTTGGGTTAAGATTAGTATTCATGACCCCGTCATGAAGTCACTTTATTTATTTATTTATTTATTTATTGAAACATTATTAAATCATTTACTCAGTAACAACAATCAGCAGATAACAGGAACACGCTGCAGATACTCATTCCCCATTTGGCCTGAATAAGCATTGTGTTTTTGCTCCACAATGCTATCCTAATGTAGGTTTTTCTGTGGCCAGGGAAAACAGTATTTAAAATAGTCCATCTTTCTAAAATTGAAGTGACTGTTCTAAACAGGTATTTAGAAAGGAAGTGGGAACAATTAAGGCTTAATTACTATGAAAAAACAAAACAGCACAATTACAAAAGAACATTTAAATAGGAAAATAAGGAAACTATACATTAAAAAATTATACATGTACACACTGTATCAAAATACCTTTTCTATTTTGGTAACCAAATTTTGGAGATTAAAAACAAACTAGTTCAAGCATTTCTAAACATAAAAATTTCAGGTTTATATTTATTAAAAACAAGATAATATCAGTTTTGTTGAAGTAATCATATATACACCATGATAAATATTTGGAATTGTGAAAAGGGAAATAGTGAATAGCTTTAAATTTCCTGACTATTTTCATGGCTTAAATAATTAAACTTTTTTCAGTTTTTTTTTTTTTTAATAAGTTTACTTAGTTTTAAACTCAGGCCAGTGTGCTTTTCTTAAAAGACAAAATACTTATTAAAAATGGTCGGTATTAAGGTTTGCACGAGCTAAAAATTAACATTTACATTTGCCTAGATGTAACAATTTAAAAACATACAAATTCAAGATATAGTAGGAAAATATGTAAAAAAACACATAAAGAACCATAGCCCATTAAAAAATATAAATGCACCTTCTATATATCGAAAACTAAATATTCTGATTTAAAAGTAGCTTCTGTAAAATGTCAAAGTAGTAGGCATTGTTTGCTTTCCTAATATAATGAATAAATAAGAAATATTTCTATCTCAAACAGTACTATCAGTATTTCTTAGCAAAAACTGTAGTATATACATATACATGGAAAGGCAGGCATTGATACAGGATGTTCTGCATCCAAGTTTTCGAGTTTGAGTTCCATTAAAATGTTTTCTACAACTTATAAGGACAATGCACACAAAAGTAAAAAGATGAGGTAAACATCTTACACTTTTAAGCATTACTTGAAACTTAATACTTAGATATTCCCAATGCCTAGGCTCTAGAACGATGCTTAGGAGGTCCTCCATAATGATGATGATATGACACATATCTGAACCACATAATGAGGAGCAGGTTTCTTGGTCTTCTGAGTAGGCAATGATGTTCTTCCCTGTTATTACAAAGCAATCATAACTAAGTTTTGTCAAGAATATTGCTTCTGTGTGGGTTTACATGAGGCACCGAGCTACACTAAGAGCAGTTACAATGCCATTCAAAATTGCCATACTATAGCCCACGTGGAAAGAATGTCCAGTCAGTTTCTTGAACCTGGCAGGTGAAAGAGGAGTAGGAGGAAACCTGGTTCATGTAAGGAACGGCACCAAAAACGGAGGAGAGCTTAAACAAGCTTTATTTGGGAATGCTCCCGGGCGAGGTTCACTGGTCCTAGAGAAAGGGGCCAGAGAAGTCGCGACCCGGTGCAGGCACGAACAAAATTTATAGGGGCGGACGCAGGGGAGGTGCTTGCTGTGTGAAGCAGCCCTTTTTTGGTAATCTCTCGGGTGTTGTGGCAATGTCAGGTGTCGGTTGCATCAGCCACTTTGGCGGGGGTTGCGTCTGGCTCCCTGGGCCCTTCCCCGGACCTGCTGGCCTTACATCCCGACTTCTTTGCTGTAATGGGGCGACGTTTGGTCTCTGGCTACCTCCTGCTGTACGGGGGTGCCGGAAGGGAGTCGGGAGGCCAGCGGTCCGGAGGTTAGGGGAGGACGGCCGCGGGGGGTTCTATGGGTAGTAAGGTATATGGGTGGAGGAGCATCTGATTTACCGCCACCCGAGAGACTTCTTGTATACGGCTGCGGAGAACCCTGAGGAAACAGGGGGGAAGCATGAATAGGATGCAGATAAGGATTTAGGGGCCTAGGATTGGTGTCAGCCAGGTATAGAGGGTGGACCGCCACCAATCGGGGATGGGGGAGGTGGATTGTCGCTGCCTGCGTTGGAGTTCTTCTTTTAAGCGTCGGAGAGCATCTACATTGTCTTCAACGACCCCTGTCTCGCTGATGTAGTAGCAGCACTCTTCCTGTAGGAAGAGGCAGGTACCTCCTTTGTCGGCTGTCAGAAGGTCCAGGGCGCGTCGATTTTGGAGGGCAACTCGGGCTACTGAGGTGATCTGGCGCTGGAGGGAGGTGATGGAGGTGGCAGAGGCCTCGATGGCTAGCTGGAGTTTCTGTTCTAGGTCGCGGGATGTTGAGACACTGTGTGTTAGGGCTCCTCCCCCGATGGCCGCAGCGACGAGAGGGGAGGCGAGGGAAATGCCTGCGACCATAGGGAGAAAGATGGCCCTTTTTTGTCGGCCAAAAAGTTGTGTGGTAAGTGAGAGAAATTCGGCTTGGCCACATAATGTGAGTTGTGGAACAAGGGTGACGGGGAATACATGGGAAGGGGGAGGAAGAGTTGACCTCTTTTGTAAGGGAGCCATTACACCAAAAGAACAAGCCTGGTGGGGCCCCCATTGGCGTAGTTACAGGGAGAGATGAGTTGCAAGGGAGTGCATCATTCGTTAAGTTTGGGCGGCTGCCATAGCAAATTGTGAGGTTCTTTTTTTCTAAATCTCTGAGGGTGAGAAAGGCCCGTCGAACAGTGGAGGGAGAAGTAAGGGGTCCTTGGGGGGTTTCTTTAGCAGCCAAATATAGGGGTTTAGCAAGAAGAGCAACGTTAGGTATCCAGTGTCGGAAAAATCCTATCAGGCCCAGAAAGGAGAGAATCTGGTCAGCTGTCTCTGGAGGTTGGAGGTCGTGGATGGCCTGGGTGCGGTCGGCTGTCAGGCTGTTTGTTGTGGGGGTAAGGTGGATTCCCAGGTAGGTTACTGAGGGTGTAGACAGTTGGGCCTTGGCTGGAGAGACCCGATAGCCGCGAGAGCCGAGATAATTGAGGTCAGCAGTGTGCTGTTTTGAGAGGCTGAGAGATGGGCTACAGAGGAGGAGGTCATCCACGTATTGGAGGACTATACTGGGGGTGAGAGGGCAGGAAGCGAGGTCCTGCACCAGAGCCTGGCCAAAGAGGTGGGGGCTATCGTGGAAGCCCTGGGGAAGAACCGTCCAGGTAAGCTGGCGGGAAGCCTGGGTATCTGGATCTGTCCAGGTGAAAGCAAAAAAGAAGTAGGAATCAGGGTGTAGGGGGATAGAAAAGAAGGCGTCTTTGAGATCGAGGACCGTAAAATGGGTGGTGGACAGGGGAATATGGGAGAGCAAAGTGTATGGGTTTGGCACAACTGGGTGGAGGGGAATTATCGCCTCATTGATCAGTTGGAGGTCCTGGACCAGGCGGTAATCTCCTGAGGCCTTGCGGACAGGCAGGATGGGGGTGTTGCAGGGAGAGTCCGTGGGGATGAGGAGCCCCTGGTCTAAGAGTCTGGTGATAATAGGTTGTAAGCCCCTTAGATGAGTTTCAGAGATGGGGAATTGGGGCCTGGATGGAAACTTGGAGGGGTCTTTAAGACGGATTAGGACAGGGGGGTGGTGTGTCGCTATTATGGGTCTCCATGTATCCCAGAGCTGGGGGTCTATCCGGTTGGGGGAAATGGGAGGAGGAAGAGAGGAGGGAGAGGGCTCCGCTGCCAGACCGAGGAGGGGGAGCAGGAGTTGAGAGGAGGGGGCCTTGGGATCAAGTCTGGCCAGTTGGAGATGGGCCCCTAATTGGAAGAGAACATCACGACCTAGCAGAGGAACCGGGCAGGACGGTATGACTAAGAAAGAATGAGTAAAAGGGAGCCTCTCGATGTAACATTAGAGGGGGCCAGTCTGGAGTGGGAAGGATGGCTTACCGTCGATGCCCATAACCGAGATCTGGGAAGGAAAAACTGGCCCGGAATATGTAGGCAAGACTGAATAGGTAGCCCCCGTGTCCACCAGGAATGAGATGGACTTACCCGCTACCTGTAGCATTACCCTGGGCTCGGCGAGGGTGATGGGGGTCTTCGAGTCCGGGTGTTGTCAGTCGTCAGCCAGTCCCAGGAGTTCGAGTGGTGGAGCCGTCGGGTCGGTCCGCCTTCCACGTGGAGGCGCTGAGGGAGGGCCGGCCATAGGGCAGTCACTTTTCCAATGGCCTCTTAGCCCACAGCCAGGGCAGGGCTTGGAAGGAGGCCGGGGATTGGGACATTGGCGAGCCCAGTGCCCCTCTTTTCCGCACTTGAAGCAGGCACCTGGTGGGGTTGCCTTCGGCAGGTCCCATGGATGGTGTCCATGGGAGATGGCCGGCCGCAGGGTGGCTACGAGGGCTTGGGTTTGGAGGGCCACCTTTTGGTGCATCCGAGCCTGTCGGCTGGATTCTGCCAAATCCTCACGGGCATTATAGACTTTAAAGGCCATTTTTACCAGGTCTCGGATGGGAGTCTGGGGGCCGTCCTCTGCCCGCTTAAGTTTTTTCCTGATATCAGGGGCTGATTGGGTGATAAAGTGGGTGGCCAAGACTGTTGCGCCTGCCGGGGTGTCAGGGTCCAAGCGGGTGTAGAGAGTTAGGGCCTCTGTAAGACGGTTGAGAAAAACGGCTGGATTTTCATTGGGCTCTTGGGTTATCTCTTTTAGCTTTTCGAAGTTGACAATCTTGCGGGAGGCAGCCTGCAAACCAGCCAAGAGGCACTGGATCATTAGATCGCGTTTGCGGCGACCGTCTTGGCTGCTAACTCCAGCCCGGATCGGTGCCAGGAACGGCAGTGGCTCCGACGGGCATAATCAGTGAGGTGGACCTGATCTGCGTTGTTTCGGGCAGCAGTTTGAATTCTTTCCCTCTCGTCGGGGGTCAGAGTAGAAGATAGGATCACAAAGATGTCGTGCCAGGTTAGATCGTAAGCTTGAGAGAGGTAGCGAAATTCTTTGATGTAGCGGGAGGAGCTGGCAGAAAAGGAGCCTAATAGCTTTCCTATTTGAGAGAGATCTTGGAGGGAAAAGGGAACATGAACTCTAACTAATCCTTCCGCTCTGGCCACCTCTCTTAAGGGACAGAGAAGGTTTGGGTCCTGAGAGTCGTGGCGGTGAGAGCGGGTGTGTGAGCTGACTGGCGAGGAGAGGGGTGATGAGAGAGAGACGGAGGGAGAAGAAGCGGGGGAAGGGGGGGCCAAGGGGGAGGTTGCCGGGGGGAAGCGGGGGAGTGGTGGGGGGCGCTGGGGTGGGCTCAGGAGGGAGAGGGGCCGGTCCAGGGTAGGGTGGGGGTTGGAGAGGAGCTCTGGAGGGGGGAGAGGCGAGAGATTCGGGTGGGTCGGTGAGTGGAGAGGGGTCATCGTCAAAGGAAATTAGGGGCTTGGATGCAGGAGATGTCTGTTAGGCAAGAAGGATCTGGGAAGTGGAACAATCGACGCAGAGGGAAGGGCGGGAGCGTAAATACCAGAAGCTCTGGACGTAGGGGACCTCGGACCATTTACCCGTCCTGCGGCAGTAGTTCTCTAAATCGCGGAGAATGTTGAAATCGAAAGTCCATTCAGGAGGCCATTTAGATTAATTGTCTAGAGGGTACTATGGCCAGGCCTCGGTGGAATAGAATATGAGCCGCCTGCCGCGGAGGTCTTGAGAAAAGCCGAGTTTTATAAAGTTGGCCAGGAGACACCCCAGGAGTGTCTTAGGATCTGGTTTGGATTCTGAAGTACCCATGACCTCCGGTCTGTCCCCGGGTGAACAGAGAAAGAGAGAGACGTCTCTGGTCTCAATATCTGGTCACGGCGGATTGGAGAGCAGTCAGGCTGTTGGGACGTCTCCACAATCGCCCGAGGCTCGGAGGGAAGACGGAGGAGTCCCTGACGCGGCCGCGGTTAAGGACAGGGAGTCCGGTGGGTAGGGACCCCAGGGGTCGAGGGGAACGAAGGAGGGACTTACCCCGCTTCTGCCGGATCGGGTGGGTGAGCGGAGGTCCCCGGTCGGGAGGGGTGGCCCCGCGGTAATTTGTGGGGCTGGGTACCCCTCCCGGGTTTCGGCACCAAATGTAAGGAATGGCACCAAAAACAGAGGAGAGCTTAAACAAGCTTTATTTAGGAACGCTCCCGGGCGAGGTTCACTGGTCCGAGAGAAAGGGGCCAGAGAAGTCGTGCCCGGGTGCAGGCACGAACAAAATTTATAGGGGCGGATGCAGGGGAGGTGCTTGCTGTGTGAAGCAGCCCTTTCTTGGTAATCTCTCGGGTGTTGTGGCAATGTCAGGTGTCGGTTGCATCAGCCTCAGAGCCGTTGGTTCCGCCCCTCGGGAAGCGGGAAGACCGGGGCCGAGTGGTGTGGCAATGTCAGGTGTCGGTTGCATCAGCCACTTTGGCGGGGGTTCTGTCTGGCTCCCTGGGCCCTTCCCCGGACTTGCTGGCCTTACAGTTCAAAAGAATCAAAATAAGTCACTGTCCAAGAAGAGGTGCAGCAGGAGAATCCAGCAGTTAGGGATATTATAAGTAGAGTCCAGAATCCTAACAGTCCAGTGTGTACATCATCTTCGTTCTAAAAATTTTCAGCATGTAACTCTTTTACGATCAGGTAGTGATGGCGAGAAGGAAGGCGAGGAGGATGGCTAACAGCAGTGAACAGAGAACTGAGAGGGCCTGGACCGGCCAGCGCCGGGCTTGGGCTCTGCCGCCCGCATCCGCGGAGAAAATGGCATTGCGTTTATCGGGCAGGGCGGGAGACCCGTCCCCATCTGGCCAGAGTAGCGAGTCCTTTCTAGGTTCCGATGACGCCCCGGCCGAGAACTCCGCCCGCAGGTCACGGGCCACTCAGTTGCATACCTCCTCCTCGTCGACTTCACCCTCATCCCAACTGTCTCCGTGACTCGGGCCGGGGGTGAAGGTGGCAGCCCCCCACTGCCCCACCCCCTACGGGGTGAGGCTGTCTAAGCTCGGGAAGCTGGGACACAGTTGTCTTCCCTTCCCCGGGGGAAGTTGGTGGAGTTTTCTGAAGTCACTTTAAATGAACTTTCCGCACAAAGTTGAGTTTGACAGTCAACCTCCAATATGATACTTGAATAGCTTTCTAGAATCTTAAATAGATCACCGAGGAACATTAGAAACCTAGTGTGAGCAAGCTAGGCTTTTACCTGGTGGAGAGAAGGATGCACTATCCATTGGTACTTCTGTGCCATTTTCTCTTAATTTTCACATAACATCGACCCCAACTCGTGTAGATTCTGCCACCCATGTGCAGCTAACATCCATCCAGTTCCTCTCATATCCATTGCAGGAATCTGCTCTAAGTAACGTCATCTCTCATTTGTAATTCTCCAACAGCCTCTGGATTTATCTAGAAGTACACACCCTTGATATTCCATTCCCCACACAGTAGTCACAAAGATCCCTTTTGCTTAGATTCCTGTGTTTTTTTCTCTTAGAGTAAATTCTCATACATTTCCCTTAACCATTCATGGCCTTGGCTCACCCAGGCTTCCACCTTCATATTTTTTCTATACTACTCTTCCTTTCCTCGGCAACCACATTGAATTTTTTCTGTTTCTTGTACTGTGTCTTTGCTCTTTTCCACCTCAGGACTTTACACATTTACCTACTACATTTACCAGAAACATCCATAATAATTTTCCTTCTCAACCTGCCTGGCTTTTCAACTATACGGTAACATCCTACTTATCTTTTCCTCATTCCTCTGATCCTAGTTTAAATGCCATTTTCTTAATGCAGTCTTTCCGGAATCCCTTACTTCAAGGTAAATTTAGAAGCTGGATTTCTTATATTTTAGCACATGTCATACTAATAAATATGTATTTAATAGTTAAAACATTTATAGAAACTATATTTGCCTCCATTCAGCATCACACCCCTAATGCTTAGCCCATAGTGACTGACTTGACTCCCACTGAGCCTTTCTGTGACTTGAGTAGGGACTAGCCTGAAAGGCAAACATCACTGTGGGTACGTGCCATGGACATGGGACAGGCAAGGGCTAACCATGAGGGCTTGAGCAAGTCTGTGTTGGCAAGAATTGAAAGAGCAGTTTCAAGTATTTTTTTTTGAACTTTTATATTGGAGTATAGTTGATTAACAATGTGTTAGTTTCAGGTGTACAGCAAAGTGTTTTAGCTATACATATACATGTCACTATTCTTTTTCAAATTCTTTTCCCAATTAATTAGGTTGTTACAAAATATTGAGCAGAGCTCCCTATGTTATACAGCAGGTCCTTGTTGGTTATTCATTTTTAAATATAGCAGTGTGTACACGTCAATCCCAAGTATTTATGAACTGGAATAAATGTACTTATAGATGGAGATGATAAGGAAGTAGTCCTGTCCTTTAGGTGATGCTAACAATGATCATAAACAATAGAGGAGAAGTCAGTTTATGGGGGTGAAAACGAGAGAAGGAGGAATTATGCTGATGGTGTTGAGTTTAAGGAATCTACGGAATTTTCATAAGAGATATATCCAATAGGCGTAGTTGCATCTTGAGCTGAAGAAATAAGTGAAGATTAGAGAGTTGGGATTCATTTCGTGTGATTGGAATAGTGCTTGTAAAATATGTTTACTCACGAGAGTATTTTTATTTTATTTTATTTTTTTTGCAGTACGCAGGCCTCTCACTGTTGTGGCCTCTCCCGTGTGGAGCGCAGGCTCAGTGGCCATGGCTCACGGGCCCAGCCGCTCCACGGCACATGGGATCTTCCCGGACCGGGGCACGAACCCGTGTCCCTTGCATCGGCAGGCGGACCCTCAACCACTGCACCACCAGGGAAGCCCTAAACAGTTAAATTTTTTGACTTTAGGATTCAAAAATGGGAAAATCAGTTCATGTTGTTTAAATTACTCTCTTGCTTTTATCTTTAGGACTCTCTTTGATGGGAAAAATGAAGAGAACCCTAGCAGGCACTGGGTTAAGAGGGATTCTTTGAACACACACACAGATATGAGGCTCTCAGGGAAGAAGAGGTTGCTCTACTAGTGATGCTATGCATGACCAGCCTTAGACACACTTTGAAGAAGGGTGAAATTGCTTAGCATTTCTTTGTGTTTTCTTAAGAGTCCCCTCCTTTACAAAGCACTCAAGTCTCCATTATCACAACATGTACCAACTAACAGACAAAATCATCCATATCATGTATAGAAGACTTGCTGTTTCACCTCTTCAAGAAATGATTGCATTTTTAAATGGGTCACTGAAGGAGGGAGACTCACAAAGTAAAAGCAATGGTGAATTACCAAGCATTCACAAAGAAGGTATGTGAACAGTGTTCTTCCCTCTTCCCCTAGAATCTTACTATATAGGACCCAACTGGGATGGAGTTGATGGTACTGGTAACCCAGTATATACTGATGCCCTCTGATTTCAGTAAACTTATGTTAGCATAAAATCTCTGTTACTCTGGATAACTAGGCCTTATAGGAAAAAAGTCAAACCCATGTTACATTGATTTTTTTGCCATGTATTTTAGGCCATGTGATATCACTGTTCCACTGTATAAATTAATGATGTCTCTTTATTTGTAATATTTAGAGAGATGTTATTTATTGCTTTTGATGCTGGAGGGAAAAGACATTATCTCACCAACTTAAAAATGTACCCTCAAATTACACCGTCCTACATGAGGGGTGTGAAGCACGTATGTCGCCTTAATTGGAATTTACAAATAACAGAAGATGACAGCTGTCAAACACCAGTATGAGGAAAAGAATAGCATTATTCAAGTGTCAATTCCAAATTAGCGTATTTCCACTAGTAACAAAAACAACAAGTATATGCTCTCTAGATAACAGCTATTGCATCATATAAAAATTCATATTTATGTGCAAGAAGGAATTGCAAATTTTTCAACGTTTAGATGAAACCATGAACATATACAAGTCTCTTAGGTTTCTGAAGATACTGAAAATGTCATGAAGGTTTTCACATACGTTTTTCAAAAGCAGGTGACATGAGGGACACATATAAATCATGATAACATGATAATATGAAGGTAATATTATATTCCCAAATGTGGTTGTTTTACTCAAAGATAGATTAACTGTTAGAGCACTTGGTTTCACCTATGCTATTAAGGAATGGAGTTTGAGTTCAATTAGTAAACTATTGAAGTTCTAAACTACTGCTAAATCAAAAGTCCCTAGAGTTTTATTTGTT